CTACTACTACTACTACTACTACTACTACTACTACTACTACTACTACTACTACTGCCTCTGCCTCTTCTTCTACTACCACTACTAAATTGCATTTTGTAGCATAAATCCGCTTAACAGCAAGCTATATGCCTTTGACAATTTTTTCCTACCAGGACATAATATTTAGAATTTAAACCGGTCTGCCTGCCAAGGTATGTCTGCGATTCTTTTGACTTGCCCTTTCGAATGTTCCGTTATCATGCACAATGGGCACCTGCGCACCCAAGGCTTTAAAGTATTTTCCTTTTTGATGAGAACATCAGGAGCTATGTCGCTATTATCCCATAATGAAAAACTGGAGAAATTGTTTAGGGCTGGGCAAACCCCTAAGCCGAACGAGCGCCGAAAGCTACCAGTTTCAATCCCACCAGTCCATTCATTTATAACCTGAGGGCGAAAAAGAAATTTGTATAATGTTGGAGGGAATTTTCAATATTTTTTTTCCTTCAATGCTACCAGTTCCCATCCTACCTGTTCATTCATCTATACGTTTTTCAATCCACCGAACCATCTGCCCACTCATTCATCTGTTCATCTACAGATCCACACTTCCTTTTACCCATCCATCTTTCCATTCATACATCAATTCATCTCTTTATCTATCCCGCAATACTGTTCCCTGAGAGATAAAAAAGTACAACAAGTACTGCTTAAAAAGTCATCGTTACACAAATAAGGGCCGCTACCTTTAAATGAAGTACAACCACCGTAATATGATTAAGAACGAATATTGTTAGATCTACATAAAGAAGTACAGTAACTGTATATCTGTTTATCTGTTACCGGTACACGAAGCAGTGCAACCACCATTACGTGCATAAGTATAAAACCACTGCTATATTGATAAGTAGTACCACTGTTACATAATTAAGTACAACCACAATTGAATAAACAAGTATGCAACCACTGATGATTACTTCCCTTACATATATAGGTAAGTACAACGACCATGATTACAAAGAGAAGTACAACCAGGTTTACATGTTGACGCCATGTTTCGATAATTCTGTATTCAGGTGGAGCACAACACTCTTTGCGTCCCTAACGGAAAGGGCCCCACGGGCTTGGAGGAAGGGCTGGACAACCTGGGATACTCTGTGAATGACGCCAGATCCAGCAACAGGTACGTTCCCAGACTCCCTGGTCGCTTTTAAAGGTGGCGTCTTCGTATTAATTTGTTTAGTGAACTGTGTTCTCTTGAAGTTGAGCTGTGCACGCGACCAGGTTCCTGCATTGACGTATACATAATCTATACTCTGCAAGTTTGTTTTTCTTCCTAATTTGACCCAAGTAACATTCGTGCCCTATGACTAATTTCTCCCTCAAACACTGGTAATTCTTACTTCTTCTCTTTCTTTCTGTTGTTTCTTTTCGTCTTTCTAGCTTTTTTCCCTTAGTACTAAATGGCTGTTATTTTGTCTATGTGGGTCTGTTTACTCAAACAAATGCCCGACGGACAGATTGACAGACAGACAGACAGGCAGACAGATAGGCAGAGAGACCGGCAGAAGACAGACAGATAGATAGATAGATAGATATATAGATAGATAGATAATCCAATCCTCTCTTTCTAAGTATTAA